GCAGGGAGCCCGATGTGGGACTCGATCCCAGGACCCTGGGACCATGACCTGAGCTGAAGGCAGACACTTAATGACTGAGCCACCCAGATGCCCTGTAAAAGCGTTTTTAAATGTATTTGGACTTTTTCTGCTCCCTGCTAGAGATGTGGATAGACAGAAGTGCTTGGGGCATGGTGAACTGAACTTAATTATAGGTCACTTAAATGCACTTCCTGGCTAGTCTACATGCTGTGTAATCTCAGTGAAGTTACTCAAGCTCTATGAGCCTCAGTTGCCTCATCTATAGAATGGGGATAATGCCATCTCACATACACATAATTTGCCTACGTTCACAATAACCCCACAAGTGCCTCACTGAATCCGTTTCTGAACTTCATTTTCTGCAGTTTTTAAAAAAGTTTTATTTATTTATTTGACACAAAGAGAAGGGGAGAGAGAGAGGGAGAGGGGGAGAGAGAGAGAGAGAGAATGAGTAAGGGAGGGGCAGAAGGAGAGGGAGAAGCAGGCTTCCCTGGAGCAGGGAGCCTGATGCAGGACTTGATCCCAGGACCCCGGAATCATGATCTGAGCTGAAGGCTTAACCAACTGAGCCACCCAGGCGCCCCTCTGTTTCTGAATTTTAAAAAGAAAAATTTCTTGAAACTCTTTAACACCGATCTTTAATTATCTTCTTCTCTCTTTTTTAAAGTAATCTCTACACCCAAAGTGGGGCTCAAACTCACAACCCCGAGATCAAGAGCTGCATGCTGTATCAACTGAGCCAGCCAGCCAGGGAGGCGCCCCCATCTTTAATTCTTTGTAGTGAGTTGTTCAGTCATAATCACCGTTTGAAGATCTCTATTGCCTCTGGGGTAATCAACCAATTTTCAACCTACAGAAAGGTTCTGGCATGGCTGAAAGGAGAACCATCTGAGGGCTGCCAGGTGAGGGCTGGACCATAGGAAGCCATCTAGGAATCAGGCCAGAGAGGCTTGTCTCTTCACACCCTTAAGGACTGCAACTATTCCTTACAATTGTGTGGTGTGCTTGTCACATGGTATGCAATCAACACATAGTTGCTGCATTAAAAACAGTATTGAAGGGGCTCCTGGGTGGCTCAGTTGGTTAAGCGACTGCCTTCGGCTCAGGTCATGATCCTGGAGTCCCTGGATAGAGTCCCGCATCGGGCTCCCTGCTCGGCG